AGCGTGCGGATGGCGATCGGCGAAGCCTCCCCGTGCACGCGATAAGGACGCTTAGGATTCCCGTCACGTCGACCTTGCGCGCTGGGCGTAAGCGCGGGAGCCCTAGGTGCGATCCGATCCTCTCGTAACACGACACGATCGGCTCATTCCTATTGCTCGCATGGCCGGCCAAGGCGCGCGCAAAGGCTCGCCACGAAGACGCCGCTCTAATCTACATTGACTCCGCGTAAGGAGCTCGTTCACGCGTACCAATTGTATCGCCCAGCAGATAAATGATCACTTTCGTTTTCTGCGCTGTCTTTCAACGCTAAATGTTCGAATTTTTTTTTTATTGCGAAGATCCCCGTGCCTATTTATGTAAATCGTGCTCAAGCTTACCGCGACCACTCCACAGCATGCCCAAACAGTTTGATTGACCCCAGCGCATCGTAGCTTTGAGTTCTGTGGCCGAGGCGTTATCCATGCATGCCAACGTATATATATGAGCCTACCGGCGTATTATAGAGCTTTAGAATAGCGCACCTCAAGCCCCTGTGGTGTCGTCGCTGCCACTGCGCATGCGTCGTAACGCGAGCTGCCGTTAGCGTTCGCGGCCCGCCCGCAGAAAATCTGAAATAGCGGGTGGCATGAGCGGCCCGCATGCAGCCCGCAAACGCTGGTGTTGACGCTATGTGTAGTTTCCGTGCATTTGAGTTTGCGGGGCAGCTAAAGTCCCCAGATTGTTCCCTAGGAGGGGCAACGTTATAATCTAATAAAGCTTATATATGGTGGTCGGTATCGCCGCAACGCCCGCAGCGCATGCAAACGTTATTTTAAACCTCTCCATTATCTCGGCAACAGCACCCGACGCTTCGTGGCTGGCATCAGTCCAAAGTATTGCGCAGGTCAAGTGTCGAAGCGTTCGTGTTAGGGTTCCCGACGACTGTACATTGCGAAGAAGCGGGAGACATTCAGAGCTCCTAGCTTCTGTTTATGTGTCGTTGGATGCGCCACATCATGTCATGCGTGATCATCTTCATTGAGCTTCCTTGAAAGCGTTATTCTCATCGAAAATTTGCGTACTCGGAAGGACTGCCACAAATGACGTCATCTTTCCTAGAGAAATAGTACGCAAGCGTTGCGTTATAGCTTGCAGCTAGCGTTGACGTGTCTCGTTTGGTCATGTCAATCAATGCACGGCAGTTGCTGAGAAATTGTTGTTCTCCGCGACAAGTTGCCGCGCGGATTCGTTTCGACAATTATTCACGTCTTCATATAGATCAATGGGCCTCAAATATAGGAAATATTGACTGCTATACTTGCGCTAATCGTCTTGCGCCAAACATGAGCGAATAGGCCAAACGAAGGAGCCATGGGGTCACGGTTCACAAACATAGTCAGAACATTGCAAGAGTAGAAAAATGCACGAACACCTGCACATCTGTAGCACGCGATGTAAATAAATTCCGCCTTTCGCGACGCAGCAGAGAGGCTAAGTCTTTCTGTTCCGACGTGGGAGCGGCCCGCAACGTGCTAAAGCGTGTTCTGAGAGACCAAATAAAATTCATCCATTCATCTGCATCCTCTCCAAATTTTTTGCTCACTTTCACAAAACCAATCTAGATGAAAACAATTTAATTAGGTTGTGCATTAGAGAGATAATTTACAAGCACATGTTTTTAGCACAAAGCCACAACGAAGTCCACACGGATTTCTTTTGGTTATGGCTACTGACTCGCTCCGTCACTGTTGCGGTACTGTCATGGCAAAGCACAGTCGCCATTTCGTACATATACGCTTTCGGTTTTTATGCTACCTAGCTTGACTATGAAGTAACGTGACAGCTGGTAAAAATGGTCGGTGAAAACTGGGTGACATGCATGTTAAATTCACTCGTGTAGGAATCATTAGCAATTAATGGAGATAGATTCTAACTTTCGGGTGGGAGATGTAGGCATATAAGTGTTAGGCCGGGGAAGTACAGGGGACATCTGTACGCATGCCATCCATACTGCCATGCGCGCACCGGTGTTGATGCTTCGGCATAAACCATCCTGGGGGGTCTGGGCCAATTACGGGATATTCAATTGAATTCCGTCGAGTACCTGGCGTGGCGGGATTTCGCGTAAGTAAGTGGGGCCACTCCCAGCACACCGGGCGCGCCTTATACGAGTATGCAGCGGCTGCCGTCTCGTTCCCGCACGCCTTTTGATGGCGGCGCTACCTGCCTTCTCGGCTCTCTTTTTCTCACGTCAATCTTGCTCCGGAATTCTATGAGCCCAACCACGACGCTTGATTAGAGACTTTTTCGGGGGTGTGGGCGCTGAGGGTGAGAAAGGGCTGTCCAGGCTGCGCAGCCTACGCATGTTTGCGCTTCTCGTCCATCGTGATTCTTCGTGCTTCGTCGAAGACGCGGACAGGCTTCACAGGCTGCCTCTCGGGTATAATATGACGGACAGCAGCCGCTTACGATGCAGTCAGGCGATTGCGGCACCTCCCCCCCCCCCTTTTTTTTTTCCGCGTTCGTCACTCAGCCAGTGAAACCGAGGTGATAGCAGGTGAGACGGGGTGCCAAGAACGTCGCTCTCTTTGAAAAACAGTAATAAATAAGAAGAAATAAAACACTGGACTGAGGACAGAATGAAGAATGGGGAGTCTTGGGTAGGAATTACGTCAGCGAGCACTGCGTAGCGAAAACCAAGTTTAGTTCACTTTTGACCCGAACGCGAAGATGTCTGCGGAGAGACCTCCAGCTGCTCGCTGCTTATAGAGGCGCATCTTGTAAAGGGACGGCCCGATGTATATAGCACGCCGTCGCTGTCACAGCGCCGGAAGACGTAAGGCAGGAAGAACCAGTTTTACATTCCTTTTTGTTTTGTTTTTTCGCTCATTTCCCAGATCATGCAAGGATGGCGAGGAACCAGTAATGCGAGCTCGTCTGTCGCGACCGTTTGCAGTTCGCTCGCGGGAAGGACACTGGAATATACGCTTCTCTTTCGAGCGCGCGCGAGTTGTTTTGTTAACAGCCACACAGAGGAGTCAAAGTTGCGTCGGTGATATAGAAACCGAGAGGACATACAAACCACGTGTCTCAATCCAAAGAAAAAAAAATGACTCTGTCATTGTGACTGACGGCACTGTAGAACACCGGACTATTATCAGCATTGCTTACTCCCGTCCTGCCTGCTCAAAGCACTGAAACTAAAGAAGGCACTTACTGGCGATCCCCGTTGGGAGTGCTTTTAACGTGTTGGTGGTTAAAAGGCTGCCACGGTCCTGTGTGCTGTATTATTACAGTGTCCGGCGAAATATGGACGATTCGGGCGAATTGGCCGCGTTACTAGCTCGTCAAGGTCAACCAACGCGTGAGGGAACTTTTTACAAACATGTGAAAAAAGAAGCGATAAAACTCAGGCGCGCAGTCCGTAATCAAAACGGCGTATGTTAGCTCTAAGAGTGGCTGAAAGTGGCACTAATGAGTATACAAAAATCTCCTGTCGGTTATTAATATATGTGTTGTAAAATGATACGGCTTCTGCTCCGGACCAAAGAGGCGATGCCGACACTCAGACAACTCGTCTCCTAGAGGAGGACTACCTCATTTACTTCTACACAAAATCTTCCGGTCTATTAGAATATTATTTCGTCGTTATTTCCTTAGAATACGACATAATAAACATGAGGTAATTGTGCAGTAACCAAGAGTCTTCCTGGCGGATAACTCTGATCAAGTGGAACAACTTGTTCAACGCGCGGCCATCGATCGCATCGCAGTGAGCAATGATTGTTGGTGATTTGATTAGACGAAGACAACCCTTGTCTAAGAATCGAAAAACGGCTTCAATTCAGTTACTTTTATAATTCAGAGCGATATCCTACAAACAGGCCGCTCGCTCAGTGGGATCTTTCGTATCTCTATCGAAGGCGATCTTACAAAGACCCCCTCACACGAAACGCAATGTTTGCGAATCACAAAAGCACCGCATCTATGGACAAGACTCCCGAGACATGAACAGCGGTTACAGTGTACTTATATTTACCCGAGCTTTCAATGTTTAACGCAGGAAATATACTTTTTAGCACTCTCAAACCGTCACACGTGCTGCACGCTTAGTCACTACGACGATGCATCTGCAATCCGCACTACATACTTCTTGACGTAGTCCTAATTATGTATATCTATTCATGTCGGAAACAATGAACTTCCGACTCAAGATTGCTTTTGTTCTCTGCTATGCAGACTGACACGTTATAGGCTCTCCTGAATGAAGTCCAGTATGTGCAAAATTATGGCATGGGCTATCGATACTATAAGGGCCACGAGGAACAAGGCTACTATAGCTGTTCCGAAACTTGGCATATAGATAAATTGCAGGCGAATTATAAAAGCTTGAAATTGTAGCCCAATCAGAGCATTGTGAAAAAATCCCCAAAGTTTCATGTTTACTCAGCCATAGGTTAGAGCGCGGTATTCTATTATTCAGAAGTGAGTGGACTTCATAGATACTATCTTGTACCTCAGCTAATCGGCATCATCGAACGGCTCGTCTTACTTCCAGCAACGGCGGGTGTCGGCGGCCTGCTCACAACGCTCGAGCGTTGCGTTACATTACGGTTCCTCCCGACGCAGCCCACTGTCGCGCGCGGAACAGCCGGCGTCAGAGGCAAACGAAGGGTTGACACGACCGACTAGCTGTCTTCTAGTGGCAAAGGCCACGGGGCCTGTCAGACGGAAGCGTCGTCCACTGCTACGCAAAACAGGCGGGCCTATCGGGATGTCTACACGAGGATTTCATTTCGCGCGCGGACGAAGCTCGGGCCGCTCACCATCCAGCACACACACGAAACACGTAGCGAAGTGGTCGAGCAACGGTGTCGCACGTAGGGTGTTTGAGGGAAGGGGATGGGTGGTTCGGAAGGGTTGGAGTAGACGTGTACGGGTATGGGTCGAACGATGAGCCTCCCGGCTGGTCGGAGTTGGAAAACGTTGGGTTTCAGCGCGCGATGTCGAGGGGCCTCACCTTGTGGTGGCGGGGCAGCTACGAAGAGGATCCTCACGGATGGTGCTTGAGAGGTGCGCGAAGATTGTCTGCGTGCGTCGAGATGGCAACGGCGGCGTAACAGCCTTCTCCAAGATGCGTCCGGGCAGGTTCTGAGGAGAAAGTCCTTTGGCGTTGCGAAGTGGGCCACAAGCGGCTGTAACGGTGGCGGCGGTGAAGGGGAGGAAAGAAGCACAACCGGCAACACGGAGCTGAAGAAGAACACGGAGCTGTGGAAAGTGAACACGCACAGGAACCTCCATTTGCAAGGCCGGATCTTCCTTATATATTTCCACGAGCGCGGAGGAAGGCAAGGGTTACCGGGGGACCAATGGGGCCCCGCACGCGCGGTGACCCTATGCCCCGCTTTCCTTCTCCGCCGCACTTTTCTCTTCTTCTGCAGCGCAGGTGACGCGCGAGGAGGAGGATGTGGAGAAGGATGAGATGATGCTGCTCGCGCTTCGCGGGGCGGCCTTCACGCGGCCGGCGGCGGCGTCTCGTCGCCACCGTGGTTCCTACCGCGAGACGCCGATTTCGGCGCGACAGCCCCCCCCCCCCCCCCTCCCTCTGCTTGTTCTTTCTCCAATCGGGCCCACGCTGGGATCCTTCCGATCGAAGTCGCATCGCTTCCCGGGCACGTCCGGCTCGATGACGTTTCGACTTAACTCGCCGATTGTTCTCACTGTCACCCGAGGAGCGTTTTCTTGTTAATTTGGATGGTGGTTTCGCTTAATGGTATAGTCGTACGTGGATCGGCCCCGGGAAAGGAATTGTGGCAGTGCGGGAAGGTTCCAAATTTAGCTACACAATTATCCGATTCCCGCAAGGCACACGTGGAAATGAGATGGCATGTTTCCTTTCTCTTTAACGCTGCGATCGGGCGGGCTGCTTGTTAGAGGTTGTTTGGGAATTGGCAGAGAACCAGCAAGAATATTTATAGGCTAATCTTTTGCGACAACTTAAGCACGCAAGAAGCGGTGGATCACTTTCGGCTGCGATGTCTCCTGACGTTGAATTTGCACTAGAGAGGAAGAAAACTAAGTATGTACGTTTTATTCCTTTAAAAGTTCCGTCGTCATTAGCTACGTCAATTGAAATTGCCGCACCTTCAGTACATTTCTCGTCGAGCGCCGCTCTTCACTCGTCAATTATACTTTATATCCGTCTGTCTAGAAAAAATTTCGAATGCTCTGGAACACAGTACGCAATCTACTATGGGAGAGCCAAAGGCTGTCCCAGTAACGGACTGCAGCCGGTGAATGATCACATCCACGAACACTGCATCGAGTTGAAAACAGTTGCAATGTCTGTGTTTAGAAAAAAACTGTTAACGACATTTAGTACGATTTGCTCTACTATGGGAGAGCATAAAGCCATTCCGTGAGCCTCACACCTTATGAGGCCGCATTGACAAAAATTACATCGTAGAAGGCGCGAAAATCAATAATTACGATACGGCGAAGTTTATTCGTACTGACCACCTGTCGAAAAGCCGACACGAGCCACAACACACTTAGTTAAACTCAACCTGAGAAGCATATGTGCTCGATCTGGTTATATTGAAGTTTTTCATTGCCTCTCAAAAAAGCTTTCCTATTAGCCTGTATAATAAAGAGTATTGCAGAAGAGAAATCAACTATAGGTTTAATCATTTAATTAGACGGCTATAACGTAAAAAGTTACTTAAAGTAGGGCCGTTTTAAGGTCTGCTACTATTTCATCAGCTAAGCAAAAGGTGGGTTAGATCAAGCTAGTTCAATGACAGCATTTGTTTTATAGAATCAGTGCCCTCCTTTACGACAATGCTCCATTTCATACATGACGTGCAACGCTCTGGAGGCTAGCGAGACTTCTTGGAATGAATGCGTTCGCACTAAGAAATAGTTCGATGATTTTTCCATCTGAGGCATGCTTTTATGTCATCTTTGGTCTTAATGATAAATAAGCATGCTTTGGTAGTCGGAGATAAAGACGCCCCGGGATACGGCCGTCTATAACTTGTTCTGGATCACAGCGTCTCTTAGTTCTCACCTCTTGGTGTTTTATTTGTCGCCTTTCGCGACCTTGTGCGAGCGCGTTCGCGCTTGTCTCACACGAGCGTTTTCAACGATGAAAGCCAAGCACGAGACGCGCGTAGTCACACACCTTGATAACCGAACTTCTTGCATAGCCTCCGTAGTGTTGCACCTGATGAGCACTTGACCGAAAGTGCGCTTGTAGTTTTAAATGCGGAGCATTTCTTTGTGTACCGCAAGTACTTTTGGCATCTATCTATCTATCTATCTATCTATCTATCTATCTATCTATCTATCTATCTATCTATCTATCTATCTATCTATCTATCTATCCTCCTACGTCTGGATGCTCTCCTGATCACCTTCTTGACTAGGAGTACACCAAAATTAGTACAGGATTGTAAGATGGTGCAACGAGTATGACGCGCTGGTCATGACAAGAAGAATGTCACAATCTCATCCTCATCGCGTACGTCGTCAAACACTTTCCAAAGAACAGTGGCACATACCCGGTGGTGGGTGTGGGCCACTAGTTTGCTGGATGTGCCACATGTGATAAATATTTTACATCTACCCAGGAACGGCGAGAACACACATGGGTAGCTTCAACGCGTGAGCGTTAAGAAAAAAGCTGCCATAGGCAGCGTTAACCAGACGAATGGAAGCAATAAATGTCAGTGTCCCAGCAGGAATAAAACTCTAGCCTTCTGCGTGGCAAAGACGTATTCTATCAAAGAGCAATGCCAGGCCTCGGATATACTTTTGAAATAGATCCTAATGTTCGTGTAATGTCGATTTTGGTTCCAGTACTGGCTATCCGGTTTTATAAACATTATACATATGTACTCCTAAGATACAGCCGTCATGTCGGGTTAACGTAAATTGTAGTTAGGCGCCATCCACTGAAGTTGATTTGTGTAGCAGTGTTGATGGTTACCATTTTCGCGAGCACCAGCACAAACACCAGCGCTTTATATCAGCTTACGCGGCGCTTCGTTGATACGCGGCGCTTCGTTGATACAGTGGCACGGTTCACCCAGAAACGTCACCCCCCTCAGCAAATTCACCTGTGACATGCGGATCTCTTGCGCCAGAGTGTCCAGCAAAAACTGCATGTACCAGTGGAAAATTCACCAACGCAGCCTCCATTAAGTGGATTACACGCGTTCTTCCGCCTTCAGATAAGAGGCTCGCCAGAAACGAAGCAGTAGACGACCTTCACCTCTCAAATCTTAGCCTACCACACCGGTAGCTGGGTCGGCCTCTGCTAGCATTCCAGTGAGTCGCCACATCGGCGTCCTTAGGACAGTGGCTTTCGCCTTGGCTTACATCTGACCTGTTTGATGCTCCCTGCCTTCAAATGAACCGAGATTCAGAAGGGCTCAGCCCCTGTCAGAACTGACGCTGCATCTCCCACGTTCAATGTACACGAATTCCCATTGACTGGATAACAGAGGGCCGCAACACTCTCCAACCCTCGATCAGCATGCGTTCACGACGGCAGTGTCTCCCATATAACCGAGGTACAGAGCCTACGGAACATACTCTGGCGCCCAGTAGGACTATAGTGCCAATGGGTGGAGATCCATATGTCACTGGACCAATTACCGAGGCTCCGCTTGGATGACAGGAGCATGCTTATGACAGCCGTAGCATGGAAGCGGGAACCACAGATACCAGTCAGACACAAACGTGCAGGTACTGAACAGCAAGCTACGTGCGCACAAGTGATGAAGGCAGACCACTCAAACGTAAGGTATGCTGCGTCGCCATACAGTTTGGGTTCCACTTGGGTATGATAAGTGCTGCGTTAGTTCGAGAGACCGAGCCCCTCACTATAGTGAGTGCCCTTGGCTACACCTTAGCATATACGTTATCCAAAACTAGCTAGCACTGTCTGTCATTTAACCGACATGAGCGAACATTAGTCATCGATTCGCGATCAGTAATATATGCATTAGCCATTATTTATTACTCTATAGATTACGTTGTATGGTTACTTGTAGTGGTCATTGTACAGTCACGCATTCCTTCGGAAGTAATTCATCATTGTCATAGAGTATTCAATGCGGGAACGGACAGTGGCACGTCACCTTGGGGGCACACAGCCATTTGTTTTGTTTTTCTTGAAAAAGAGAGGGAAGAGGTGGAGTTCTAGAATGCCTTCACATCAAAACCATAAAAGAAGATTATATGAGAAGAGCGGGAAAAAACGCGGGCGCAACATTTGTATAGGGACGGGTTAGCAGAGAATCCGTATTCGCGTTCCTGCTATATATATCCTTTCCGCTTGATGTAATGGCTTTCAATCATTGCCATTGCTTAGTGGCATTCGGAGTATCGACCAATACGCTCCAGCAACACGTCCTGTTACGCGCTCATCTCTAGTATGATCGTCCTCTGTATTTTTTTTTTGTACTCTACATCACATGTTGTTTAACGGGAGTGGCTTGTGGTGCAGTCATCTGCGTTTTGTAGGACCCAACAAAAGTTCATCCAATTTAATCCGAGGTTGTTTATCGCTGTCGCCACCAAATATATTTACAAGAGGTTCATGAAACTACATTATTTAAAAAACCGTCACACAGTTTCAATATTTGTTACGCCTTCCATACTAAGAAATGGAGTGTGCCTCCAATGATTCGTTTGGAAGGGGCAACCGCTAAAATTCTGTATATGTATAAGCTGTTTCAGTCATTTTGAATACGCCTCTAAACAGTACCGGATAATTGAATAACCATCGAAAGAAACTCTCATCGACAACAAATTTCATTAGTGGCAAAGGTTGTCAATGATCAATTGTTAATCAAATAAAAAGACTAATCGACCACTCCCTTTGAGCTTTTAAGAAGACGAATGGTGAGCTAGAGAAATAACAAGTTTTGTGGTCAAGTAAGAAGAAATATTCGAGTAGATAAGGCAGGAAGCTTAACCAGTGTAGGACGACTGGTTTGCTACTCTACACGTGGGAACGGGATGGATGAGATTGGAAAATGGAGGAGAACGAGAGAGATAGACAGCATGTAACACAACACACACACGCAGACAGTCGTAGTCCGTCACACCGTCACGTCACTGTCACAACCACTTGTTCGAGTTCGTTTGCCTTGAAAACCTCAGCAGTGCATTCGTCGCCTTGCGCTTCGGTTAGCAAAGTTAGGTATTGGGCCAGCTGTTTTCCGAGATTAAATAAAATACTGCGCTGCAGTTACTAGGACAAAACAATTTAGGGAGGACACCCGTTAGCAGACGACAAGCCCAACGATACTGGTTGCG